AATATTTCTGGCTCAAGAATTTACGCTCGATCAACTTTTCGAAAAATTTCGCTATTCTTCGTGTTTAATTTTTTCTGCCTCTTGCAGAATTTTTACTGGACTTTCCGGGATACTTCGTGTTTTATTTTCCAGTATATTTTATGCCTTCCCGGATTTTATCGGAATTGCTAGTTTTCTACTTATCGGGATTTTCGAGTACTTTTTAGGACTTTTCGAAATGTTTTCGGAATTTCTTGGTATTATTCGTTTTTATTTTTCGAGAATTTTTATATTTTTACGTGACAGGATACTTCATCTTCTAAGGATATTTTAGAAAATTGTTTGTATTATTGTTATTGTTTTCGGAATTTTACGGTGAGTCTTGGGATTTTTCGGTGATTATTCTGGATTTCAGGACTTTCGTGATTTTTTTGGTAGTCTTCGTCTTCTACTCTTCGGGATTTTTCGAATATTTTTGGAAGTTTTTCGGTACTTTCCTGGCTTTTTTGGGCAATCTTCGGGTTTTACTAATCAGTATTTTTCGGATACTCTTGGAACTTTTTCGATAGTTTTCTAGGTTTTTTTGAAAACTTTCCGGGATAGCTCGTGTTTTATTTTCAGCATATTTTAGGAGTTTTCAAGACTTTTCATGCTTTAGTTTTCGAGATTTTTTCTCGAACTTTTGCGAGATATCTCATGCTTAATTTTTTTTGGAAATTTCCGGGTTTTTCCGCGAGTTTTTGAAACTTTTGCGGGACTTCCCGAGATTTTCGAGTTTGTTTTAAAATTTTTAGGGATTTTTTCGGACTTCCCGGCATACTTGGTATTTTATTTATAGGGGCTTTTCCAGATTCATTCAGAATTTTATTATTAGATATGTATTTCGTTTTTACTATTTTAAGCTATTTGAATGAAAAAAATATTTGTGAATAAAATTCTTTTCCAAAGCCCCTTTTTGATACAAATATTGCATGCATTATATAATTTTACTTAAAAAATTCTTATTTTTGCTTAGTGGTAACTCTTTTTGAAAATAGTTTCAGACTGAAATGCTCTTAAGCACAGTAAAATTTCCTCTTACACACATTTTTTATAATCGACTGATTTAAAAAGTGGCAACACTATAAAAATATATGTAAAAATTTCCATAATTAAACTCCTTTGATTCAAAATACCTAGTAAAATTTACCTGAACACTTGAATTCCTGATCATGCAGATCCGCCACATTTTGACCCTTTAGCTGAGAAGGCGACTGACAGCGCGTATATGGCGCAAGTCTGGGAGCGCTACGCAGGAAACGCGAAAGCCACGACAAATGACAGTCACAAGAAAAGGGATTATCAGACAGACGTAGAGCACGTAAGCGATTCAGACCACTAAAAGCGTTATGCGGCAGCGAAGTTAAGTTGTTGTTGTTGAGAGTGCTGCAAAGTAAATAGTTAAAATATAAAAATATTTTGTTTCATTATTGATTTTTTTTTATAAACCGACATTGTTTTGTTCAGAATAGATTTATCTATAGACTTTTCCTAATCATTTTTAAAAGCTGAATAGTCCTAGTAAAAGCTATTTTTAATTTTTAAAAATGATATAGTGTCTGGAAAAGCTCTATATTACCAGTGAAAGCTCTTTCCGATTTGTGAAAGACTATTTTGCAGTCGTAAAAGTGCTTTCTATGTAGGTAAGGGGAATTATAAGAGTTTAGTACTTTTTACGAAATATTTCTCTAGACCACGAAAGCTCTCTTCGACTTGTAAAAGCTCATTCAAAATTATCTTTAAAAGTTAATGTTATTGAGGAAGCTTGATTTTGCCTCTGAGAGCTCCTTCTGACTTGGTAACAGCTCTTTGTAATTGTGTTAACCCTCTGAAAGTAATATTTAGAACTCAAATACATACATATGTATATACAGTATATTTTACTTTGCTGCCTTTGTGCTTAAGTGCACATTTAAGATACCTACCCCAAAATGCGCATCAGCGGCATTATTTTTAACATTTATAAGGAGACTGCTCCGATACTTGCATTTAACATACCTGCACATTAGCGATACCTGCCTTAAAAATTTACAACTATTATCAATTACCAAAGAAAGTATTACGTTTACCTGCACTGGCTCTACATTTACCCTAATTTTACAAGCGATTATTTATTTTGCTCATCTCGCAGAACAACGAAAACGGCAATTATTTTATGTAGTTATATAGATAATTAGATACCATTCGGAAAAAATTTCTCTTGCAGTAATTTCTACGTGGTAAGTGCTCCTCCATTATTTGGTTTCATAGGGATTCGGATACCTTCCTCATTGAAGTAGTAAAGAAAATTCGCTTAAGTGCTTTTTACGGTTAAGCGCACAAGTTTTTCGTGCAAAGAAGGATGGGCAGCTAAGCAAAATATACTGTAATTATGATTTTCTGACTTGAGCAAGCTCTTTTAAACTGTGTGAAGCTTCATAAAGATTTTTTAAAAGTTGACTAATTTTTTTGAAAGCTCTCTCTAACTTGCGAAAGATTCTGCTCACTTTCGAAAGTTCTTTCTGACTTGCAAATGTCCCTTTCTATGGTGAAGAGCCTCTGAAAAAAGTTTAGTAGTTCTCATGAAAGCTATTTCGAGACCATGAAAGCTTCTTCCGCATTGTAAAGCTCTTTACAACCGTGAAAAACCTTTAGAAGTTATTTAAAAAAGTGAAGTAGTTCTTGTGAAAACTCGATTTCGCCTGGGAAAGCTCTTTTTGACTTGTAAGTAATATTCAGTATGGTTTCTATAGTAGCATCATCTAATCAATTAAATCTTTTTCTGCCTTGGGAAAGCTCTTTATTAATTGTAAGAAGCCTTATAAATTTAGTTTTAAAAGTTTAGTAAAAGCTCTAACTTGTGGAAGCTCTTTATGACTTGTAAAAGCTCTTTTTTATGGCGAAGGGTCTCTCAGAGTGATTTTGAAAGGTTTGGTAGTTCTTTTAAAGGCTCTGCCTATTCAGTGAAAGTTTTCTATCAGTTGAGAAAACTCTTACTAACTTGTGAAAGCTCTTCCTCTGGTGGCCTAAGTTCTAGTTTGCATACAAAAAAATTCAGATAACCACTTTATTTAAAAAAAAATAGTTTTTCATTCCATTTCATTTAATTTTTTACTCACAGAATTTCCAAGTCAATAAGACCCTTAAACGCATGCTCATCCATACAGGTGATCTGATTGTTGTCCAACTGTAGAGAGCGCAAAGATTGCGCGCCCTTGAAGACACGTCGTCCCACTGTTGTAATGATATTGTGCGAGATATCCCTAGTGAGGAGATGAAATATTTAGTAGTGGTAGTACTTTTATGAATTTTTTGTTCAATTATGAGAGTTATTAATTGTTATAGAGAAAGGTAAATCTACGAAATAAAGTCCAACTATAAATCAAACGGTTTCGCGGTTTTTCAAGACAAATCCAATCACTACTGTGTGTATGTTTTTTTCCAAAATGTAGCACAGAATATCTCTACCTACGAATACATAGTAAATAAATTGTATTTATTTATCATAAAAATTATAAACCAAAGATTTGAGTGAGTATTTTTAGATGTAATTTTCAACCTCTAGCAGCGGCATTCCTCGAAAGAAATTAAAGAAAACATTTTTTTTTGTAATAAAAAAGCATGGCATTCGACTACTTACAATCGCAAAAGACTCGCTGAACTTGACACTAGATTTTCAGGTATCGCCTTTAGCAGATTGTTGTTAAGGCGCCTGTATGTATGCAATGGTAGAGTTGTAAACAGATTTGCGTGCAGAAAAATCCAAATTTGAAAGTCCAATCAATCAAAAATGAATAAAAATAAGTAAATAAAAAAGAATGAAATCAAAGAAAAAGTAAGACAAAAAAGGAATAATAAAGAAAGAAACAAAAGTATTGATACCAAATAATTGAGTTAAAATGGCTCAACTACAAATATGTAATATATCAGCCAGTTATGTATAAATATTAAATTGCTAGTTATATTAGACTTTTTTGTTGTTGTGAAAGCAGCACTGACAGCCAAAAAGTGGTAGAAATATATTTTCAAGTTTAGTTTTTTTTTTGAACAATAGATGCAGTTGAAAGTTTTTTTTGAAAGAAAAATTTAAAAAAAAATGCTTTAAAAAATTGCGAAAAAATTTTGCGCAAAAACTGATGCACTTTTTCATAAGCATTCATATGCAATACGTATGTAAAAATAGCTTGTGGCATGCAAAAGTTTAAGTAACGAAACTAAACTTACAATCGCTCCAGTGACACCAGATCCTGGAATGCGCCCTTTTCAATTGTGTGTATTTGATTATCCGTTAGTTGGCTGCAAGTATGCACAGTTTTTTAAATTGAATTACACATACATACATAGCTACACAACTCATGTAAATATACATTTGTATGTAGTATAGAATATTGATAAAAGAATAAAAGAAAGCCAGCCACCGGCGACGGTTAAGAACAAATTACGAATAATTTATGCTACACAAAGGTCAAACGAGTCAGTGAAAATATGAAAATTTAGTGTCCAAGCGTATTTTCTTCGCGTGGCAGCTAATCAGTACGTATGAATATACATAAATAATCTAACAATAAATTACAGCAACAATACACCAATCAAGTAAAAGTACTAAATTTACAAAAAGAAATAAATTTTCCCAAAAACAACATGTCGATTTTTTTAGTCTCTCCAAACTTTCGAAGATTTTTACGCTGTTTTTGACGATAGCGTATTTTAGCTACACTGATTAGCTTTTGACTCCGAAATCATATTAAAGACAAAAACCAAAAAAAAAAGTAACAAATATTTGGCCTTTTCAAAATTTTAAAATTTACATTAAGCTTCAGTGCATTAAATTTAACCATTAGGCAGATGCCGTTAGCGCTCAATGACCATCGCTGGCAGCGCACCGAAAATTTTTTATGCATCAAATCGATTCATAATTTTTTTTTTTGATTATTTCCCAGTGGGAAAAGTGGTAATGCATTACATGCGTAATAAATAATGTAATGTATTTCTTATGAGTTCTAGATTCTATTACAGTTTAATATGTAATCAGCATTCGAAAGTATCCAAAAAGTCGCAAAAATTTTATATTGAATCACATTCATTCTTGCATTACTGGTAATGCAAAATTGAATGCCCCACTTTTTTTAGGATATCGCCGTGGGAAAAATAATGCATTTTCGAATGTGAAAACGGCTGTTTTACTGATTTTTTTTCGATTACAATACATTACATTTTGCCACTGGGTTAGTATGTAATATCAGTCGGTTATTTTATGAGTCTTAATTTGTTGTTTTTTTTGTCATTTACATGCAGTTAAAAATGAAATAAATTTCGTATATTTACAAAATTTTAAGATTGAATTTGAGTTTGCGTAGAGCATTCTATGTACTTACAGTATTCGTAGTTTCGTTAAGCGTTGAAAGTCAGCTTCAAAAATGACAGTTATGTTATTGCCTTGCAAATCGCTGGAAATAAGAGCAAAATAGTAGGAAAATATTAAATTAATAAAATCGCAAGCTTAAAAAATATTTAAAATTGTTAAATCTAGTTTTGAGACAAAGTGAGTCTTATCCAGTATACACTCTTTCTTGTGAAAGGTATTTTTAATTTTTAAAAGTTGTTTTTTAACTTATGGAAGTTATCTCTAACCAGTGAAAGCTCATTATTGAGTGAAAGCCTTTTCGCTGTGTTGAAAGCACTTTATTTAGTGAAAGCTTTATCTACGTGGTTAAAGATCTCTCCAACTTATAAAAACTCTCTCTAACCAGTGAAAGCTCATTCTAACTTGTAAAAGCTTTTATTAAATTTTGAAAGCTATCTTTAACCAGTGAAAGCTCAATCTCTAAATCTCTCTATAGTTTGTATAAGCTGTCTCTATTCTGCAAAAGCTCCCTGTTTTATGAAAGCCTTTTCCCTGTAAGGAAAGTTCTCTCTATTTGATGAAAACTTTTTCTATGTAGTGAAAGATCTCTAACTTGAGAAAAATATTGCTATTTGGTGAAAGCTCTCTCTCACCAGTGAAAGCTCTTTCTAACTTGCAAAAGCGTGTTTTTTGATTGTGAAAGCTCTCTATAACCAGTGAAAGCTCCATATAACTTGAGAAAGCTCTTTTTACGTAATGAAAGCTCTATCTAACTTGAGTTAAGCTACCTCGAATGCCAAATTTCCACTAGGCGTTTTTTTTCTTCGCTTGTTAGGGTGACTTCATTACATGCTTTTCGATTAGATCTTACGCTTCCGTAGTTTAATAGGCAAAAACAGAACAGATTTCCCAAACTCCCTAATTTGACCTTGTAGTCAACCACATAATCTAGGTTGGACTTCTCCATATAAAAAATTTTGTTCAAGCAGCAGCACCCAAGAAAGCGTTCGAGCTTCCCCCGATAGGATGAACAAATCCAAGCTTGTCAAGGAGGATTTTACTACGCCTAAATTCTTGGCGACGAAATATACTGCAACAGTATACAGGGTACCAGATCATTGCAGGACTGAGGGCGACTAGGTCACCGACTAGCTGTCGAGAGAAGGATTTTGAATAATTTTTGTAGAGCCGAAATCATTTTGTGGCCACACTTGGTGTTCTGGTAGACCTTTAACTGCTGAGAGTTGAAGTCAGACGTTCCGGTGGTTCCCTTCCTCGTCTGCTGTACAGTTATCTTGTATGTCTCTTTCACCTAGCAACCACACAATGTGGGTATGTATTTAGTAGACCTTGAAGCTAACTGGTTGAGGACCTTTTTTAATTCTATCGAAATTTTTGACGAAGTTAAAAGTTGCTTGGCTAGAATTTTTAGCTATTTTTTCGTCCGATGTGAGAAAAAGCGTTATTAAACTCAATAAACTTTTCCAGACGTTTGTTCTAATTTTTCCTTGAATGTTGACTATTTTAAAGGTAATCCTTGGTTCGCTTTAATTTTATAGTCATTTCATTTTATGGACAGAAAGCAAGCTCTTAGAGTTGGTTAATTCTACCGTCAGGTCATTAAGTAGCATCTATCGTATCAGAAATTTTCAGAATTAAAAGAAGTTTTGAGCTATAACTCTTACAGATGGCATCTCTGACTCGCACACTTACGAATAAACTTTCGTCTTTGATTACACTAACGCCCTCCACATATTATCCCTTGATTTCTATACCTACATATCCACGAATCACCCAGGTCTGATTGAAAATCCAGTTAGTACTTCGAATGAGACTCTGAAGTTCTTCCAAAGATGTGCTTTCTATAAAATCAGAATAGTTTTATTTGAATTCCAACACAGGCACACAAAAAGTTTTGAATTTATTCCGGTACTTTTTCATCTCCAGAGTGGCAGTTATAGACCAACAGAACTCCAGCTGCACCCGTTAGTATTCTCACAAGGGGTCGTGTTCATCTTTGAGTGTCTAAGTAAGTTCTGCTTGCTTTTTTTCTTTCGGTGTACACTACGAAACACATTTTCTTAATTTTTAAATGCCCATATTTAAGTGGCATTGAGACCCAAAATATGAGGTACATATGATAAGAATGTTTGGTAAATAGTAAATATTTATGTATTTGCATAAATGAGGTAGCAAGTTCAGTTGCATTCGAGCTTAATTTGTTTACATCTTTTTTACTTTACACATTTACTTGTGGCTTGAAAGGTAGGCCCGCTCAATTGCTACCACATAAACGAAGGGCAAGCGCCAAGGCCAGGGTCTGCAAACGCTTCAAAATAACTTTACTAATATACACATGCATATGTATGTATGTATATATCTTCATAAGTATCAAGGAAGCCAACTCGTGGGGAATTCCCAGATTTGCGGGGAATTTCAGTTTGCGTGGGGTATTGGGAATGGGCTGTTTTTTGTGGAGAATTTCAGCTCGTTCAATTCTAGTATAATAAGGTTTCAAATGGCTAAAAATAACCAATGATTTTTTAGAATTTTCTTTGTCGCATTTGCTTTCATGTAACGAATAAACATAATCTATTTTTATATGGAAGAAAACCGCAACAACTTCAGCAAAAAAATCCTAAAACGGAAATTTTTTAGCCAACTTAAACTTACACTTTATTATTCTAGAATTGAGTGGGGCCTACAAAACTGCATAGTCAAAATCTTTCTAAAAAATCCAATTAAAAAGCTCGAAAATTTTACGAAAGTTTGTTGAATTTTTTTCAAAAATTGCACAAAGTTTGAAACTTTGATATATGCGGTTTTTGTTAAAGAATGAACTATATTTTTATAAAAAACAACTCAAATTAAATAACAAAAAAAAAATAATTTAATTTTTATTCTTTATTTGTTAACTAACTTTGTAAAAGTTTGGTTTGGTTTATCAATACAATAAACAGCAAGACCCAGTAGTATATGAAAATACATATTTTTTTTTTTTTTAAGTAATGAGATATCTATGGGTGGGGAATTTTACGAAATTTCGTGCAGAATGGGGGAATTTCATTGTCGAAATCGGGGAATTCTCAAAAATGAGTTGGCTACCCTAATAAGTATGTACACAACTATGCCTTTCTAAGCTCAACAAGTAAATTGAGTGCAAGGTATTCCATTTTCTTTCTACTTAACTACCCACCTACGCGAATGCTGCTGGAATTTGAGTGCAAGGGTGCAGGCTAAAATCTGTCTTCTTTGTTTGATTTTTTTTTGTGCATTTCAATTTCATTTTGGTTAATAAAGATTATCAAATGTTTACACAGCATATTAAATGCAAACTCAAATAGAAATAAAAATAAAAATAAAACGAACCAGAACAAAGTGTTCTTTTTAACCGAAAAAAAAAACAAAAGTTATGGACATTTGTGGACGTACATAAATAAATATAAAATTTAATTCGTTCCAGCCACTTGGTCGCGTGTGTTTTGGTGGTTGTTTGTATGCCTTCAAGCATACATACATATGTGCACATAAGCCGACCAACAAACAAACTTAAATGTATGTATAAACATTTCTTCTTTTTATTGTTTGTAATGTTAATCGCTCAACTGCAACTTTTGCGTCGTACAGTGGCAAGAACAGCCGTTTTACCTGGCGGCTGGATGGAGTATGGAGATGGTATTTGGAAAGCGCACGTACACAAACATACAGCACAGTTTTATATATACATATGTACATACCTGCCAGATATTTATGAATGCAACCACAGTGGGTGATATAAAAATTGGAACATACAATCGTATTTATAAAGTAAGAATATTTGCATGAAAAAACATCTGACTTAGATTAGACAAGGAGTGCCAGTTTAAGGGTCCCGAAAATTGTTTTCCTTTTCGTTTTAGTCGCTGTATTCATGTACTTATTCGTCTTCAACTTTGTCTTCGCATTCGCATTCGCGTTTGTGTTAGTTTTGGTCGCTCTCTTCGTATCCGTATTAGTATTAGTATTCCTCATCGTATTCAGAGTCATATTCTTTTTCGTATTTATCTTTGACTTCGTCGTCGTCTTCGTTTTCGAATTCATCTCCGTATTCGTTTTCGTGTGCGTATTCTTCTTCGGATCCTCTTCATAGTTGCATTTGTCTTTCGTTTTAGTCTTCGCATTTACCTTCGTGATATTATAAGTCGCCGTTTTCGTATCTCTCTTCGTCGTCGTCTTCGTATTCAGCTCCATATTCGTTATATTTTTCGTATTCATTTTCATATTCGTCCATTCGAATTCTTCTTGGTACGTCGTCATATGTGCCTTCGTTTTCGTATTCATCTTCATCATCTTCGGCGTCGTATTCGTATTGGCCTTCGTATTTTTTCGTATTCGTCTTTTTACTCGTATTCGCATTCGTTTTCGCC